TACTATCCTCGGACTTCTCTCATCGTACGCAACTTCATCGAACTTATCCTATCAATACCAAAAAGCAGAACACACACTTTAGCCTTGTTTTGGCTTTAAAGAACAAGAGACAATGGAAGTGATAAATTGGTTCATTACAATAGACCGTCGAGGTTGAAACATATTGTTGTACTCTTTGTTGAGACAACGATTGATGCGTTTAGATCGCATAGTGGTTTGTACTCTAATCAAAGCTTCTATGCTTTGCAACATCGCAGCGGCGCGTTTCCTTACTAAGTATCCTCTCACTAAAGCTTGTAGCTTCACTATACCTTTCAAAGCTCTTAAAGCTTTCCTTGCCTAACCAAAAACCAAAACAAACAATCAAATTTACCATTATTTCTAATCAAAAATTTGAACTTAAACAATACCCATAATACCAAATTTAATCTTTAAAGAAAAAAATTTAAACCTATTTAGCCAAAATCTGATCTTTGAGAAAATAAAATATATTTTGAAGAATGTGGAAATTACCAAAGAGCCCCTGAAGACTTTTTGAATTTGCACCGCAGCAAAACGCTCCTCCCTCGTGACAATATCTCCAACTCTTCCTTCACTAGTCAGTCTAACCACTGCCGCAGCCGCATTCGCCGCCGAAACTGCGGCTTCTGCGGCTGTAGCAGTTGCGGTTGCAACCGCAACTGCGTGTTTGTTCTGTTCTTTCTCTGTATCAGTCAAAAACGTTCTCAACCAAACAGATTCCGTCCTCGAGAGATTACAGTCGTCGCCGGAATCTTCACCGCCTTTATCGGAATCATCGCCGGAAAGGCAGCTCTGTCTTTCTTTACTCTTCTTGGAGCCAAACAAACTCTTAAACCATCTTGCAACTCTTCCCATTTTGATATATGGAAAGATCCAAGAACACTTTTTGTTTTGTGTTCTGTGAAGTGAATATTCAGAAAGATTTTTAAGAATGACAAAATTCACGAATACCCAAAAAAGAAACGTTTTGTATGCAGAGAGGAAAACAAAATTTTCAAAATCTGATTTTTACTTTCAAAATCTTTTTATTTATCGTTTTTAAAATTTTAAATTTGTTTGTGGTTCTATTTCTTTACAAGAATCCAAAGCATCACACTATAGAGCATTTTCATTAATATTGCTAAAAGAAGTGTATTACTATGAATAAAATATAAATATTTTAAAAAACCGTAATATTCTTTTTTGATAAGAAAATTTTGTATTATCACACCTTCTTAGACCAAGTAAAATATAAACCATCATCCTATTGAATTTAAAATATATTAATTTATATTCATAGAAGATGGCAGAAAAATGTTATGAGAATTGTACATTTTTTCACAGAGTGTAGAATTGTGTAGTAAATAATAAATAATTGTTTCGAAAGAAAGAGAAGATTCAGAAGAAAAAAAAACGATCTGACACAACCTCGTGAAAAATCTGAATTACAAGACAAAAACTGATGTCACAGAGAGACAAATCTAAATTCTTTCTGATCGGATTTAATTTTTATATTCTAGAAAACAATTCATATCAATAACATTGC